GGACCAAACCCGCGTCTTTTAGCATCGAAATTGCGTAAACATGGCCCAAGGACCAAACCCGCGTCTTTAAGCATCGAAATTGCGTAAACATGGCCCGCTTAAGGCCCAGACCCTTGCCCTTTTCGATGCAAATAGCGCAGCCCTAAGCAGGCCACGCGTAGGGCACCTGACCTCCCGGGGGGGTCTGCGCAGCAGGGCCGGAGCCAAGTCCACATAATAACTTTCCTCATTCGGGGCTGGCCTTCAAGCGCTCCACCGACCCCCCTCCCCTTCTGCCTTCTTAACCCGGACCCGTTTAAGCTTTCCGTTTTCGGGCTAAACCGCATCTTTGAGCACCGAAATTGCGTAAACATGGCCGGCTTAGGCCGGCTTAAGCCCAAATCCGCATCTTTTAGCATCGAAATTGCGTAAACATGGCCCGCTTAAGGACCAAATTGCGTAGCCATGGCCCGCTTAAGCCTAAACCTGCGTCTTTTAGCATCGAAATTGCGTAAACATGGCCCGCTTAAGGCCCAAACCCGCGTCTTTGAGCATCGAAATTGCGTGAACATGGCCCGCTTAAGAACCAAACCCGCGTCTTTGAGCATCGAAATTGCATAAACATGGCCCGCTTAAGCCCAAACCCGCGTCTTTTAGCATCGAAATTGCGCAAACATGGCCCGCTTATAAGGACCAAACCCGCATCTTGACTAGATTTAAAAATCTTACAGTAACAATCCCTGCCAGCACAGCCAAAACTTGACTACTTTCAAAAGGAATGCTCAATGCCTTCAGCCAAAACTTGACTAGTTTCAAAAACCTTACTTTGTCACAATCCCTGCCAGCACAGAGCTCTTCAGCCAAAACTTACTAGTTTCAGAAGCTTTCAACGGGGCCAGGAGCACTGTGCTGTCAGGGATTGTACCAAGTAACTTGTTACAATTCCTGACAGCACAGTGCTCCTGGCCTCGTTGATTATCGTAAAGGAACCGTTTGTACTTAGTACATATTTCATTGTGTTTTGTAAGTTGATTTGTTGCTCGACTCGTCAACTTATCGTAAAAGGCTTTGTTGAACTCGGGGCTTCACTCGTGGATGTACCCGTGAAAACACGTTTGGTTCATTCATACTTTTTACCCGTTGGTGAATTTTGCTCAAAATCATGTCTAATCACTTTTGAGTCATTTTTACTCTTATTTGTGAGTATTTCCTAATCAGTTTAAACCTTGTTTGCGACAACTTTATGCTTAAACATGATTCACTATGATCAAAACAATTTTAAGAATGCAAAAAAAAGACTAGCCAGAGTGCCCTGGAAGGGTGCCCATCTCAACCCTCAACTTTGATTTGGTGAAAACATGGCCCGCTTAAGGACCAAACCCCCGTCTTTGAGCATCGAAATTGCGTAAGCGTGACCCGCTTAAGCCCCGCGCCTTTGAGCGTCGAAATTGCGTAAACATGGCCCGTTTAAGCACAAAGCCGCGTCTTTGAGCGTCGAAATTGCGTAAGGATGGCCCGCTTAAGCGCAATGTCGAGTCTTTGTAAACATGGTCCGCTTAAGGCCCAAACCAGCGTCTTTGAGCACCGAAATTGCATAAACATGACCCGCTTAAGCCCAAAACCTCGTCTTTGAAAATTGTGGCCCGCTTTGACCAGCAAAAGATAGCGCAAGCAAAGTTCAACATCAAAAACTAGTTAAATATCAAGGGGTCAAATGCTCATGATGTTGTTTTTCAACATGGCCCGTGGCGCGGCGTGCTTGGAGTGGGAGAGTTGGATTTGTCATGCTTTCCTTGACAGCATTGTGCCAATGTAAAGGTTGAAAGGTTCCCTGATTTAGACTCAATGACATCTGATTAAATGTTACATTTCTACCTTTGTGCCTGCGTTCTGCGTGCAACCCTGACTAACTTTCAACTTCTTCAACATGAGAAGGACTGCCCTGTCCCACCCTGTCCCCAAATTTCCGAACCCCACTGAACTCCAGGCCAGGGCGCCCAGGCAGACCGTGCAGGCGCCGGCCTGGCCAGACCGGAGTGGGACGGTTTGGTCGAGTGAACGATGTGAAAGGCGTTTCTCCGTTCAAGAAGGATGGTCTGGTGGACAATTGGAACAGTTTTTATTTCTTCCTTGAACTTGTGTTCCTTTATGTTCCTGATTTGTTTAAATCCCGGAGTGGGTACCGTAGGCCGCAAGTGTGGCTACCTGCAGCTGGAATGCAGGAAAGCCCTTCGCATTTTTCATTTGTTTCCTAGACCTTTCGTAGGCGCACATTCTACTATCCTCTTCCCACGGGGCCACGCATGGCACGGTCATGCTGCTCACTTCGATGTTTGTTGAACATCTCAAGTTTAGCAGTCGACCCAGTACATCTTCGTACTTACTCACCTGAAAGCCGCCTCTGAATTTGCTTGTGTTGCCAGTCTTGGTCTTGGCAAGGTGCATGAATTCAGTTCTGTACTACTTGTTGCCTAGCTCTGTGCTTTTTGAGCTCCAAAAAGAACCATTCTTCGTCTAAAGTACCTAGCTCGTAAATAGATCAAAACCCCAGAATGGATACCTTTGTATGCCTGCCAGAGTGACATTTGAATGTGACCGGTTTTGTCAGCTTTTCCTCCTTTGAGATAGGATAGCCCCTTCCTTCGTTGCGATAGACAGGTGGTGTGACAGTGTGGCCTAGTTCTGGATGGTCATTTCCATGTCCCTTCTGTCGCCATAATTGAGGCGAAACAGCCAGCTCAGCCAAGCACTAAGACCGAGTTCTACAAGTTCCCAAGCTGTCGACAGCTTCGAGTGACCTAGAGATAGATCGGCTTCATGGTGATGAAACACCGATAGCCGATAGCTGATAGTTATATAATGTTATATTTATAACAGGTTATATTTGTTGAGCAACCTCGTTGGAACATGGCGCACAGCCTTTCTGTCGCAGGATTTTTGGTTGCCTGGTTTGCAGTTCAAGGGGTACCCTTTAAACTCTCCAAACTCCTGGGCCTGACAGAACTGACCAAAAGAACTTCCTGGCGATTGCCAGTTGTATAATGCAGAATCAGCCCGCCAAATGATTGGCTTCCACCTGTCTCAGGTCAAGAGTCAGGGACAAGGAGAAGCTAGTGAAGGGCAGTGAACGGCTTAGATGTGTTTAGAATTATTTTCATGTTTGTTTCGGTGCTGCAAAGACATTCATAACCTACCGGCTGTATATTCCCGGCCCTTGCGATGATCATCATGGTCATCGTCCTTGTCGTCATCAACAACAACAACAGGTATTCATAATAGATACTGTATTTACAATATATATATATATATCACAAAAGCTAGCACCAGCTAGCTGGAGTTGTTCTTGCTTTAGCAAGTGAGGGGGGTGGAATCCTCGAGAGCGCCGCATCGCATGAAAACTTCATGCGTACGCGGGGCCCACGGGTTCAACTCCTTCCTCGGACGTCTCTGGGACGTGTGCATTTGCATGCTCAATCTTGCCCTGCTAGCTTTCGTCACCAACACTCGGCCTCAAGTATACATATATATATATAAATATATGTTGTTTCTGCCAGCGGGCTGAGAGCTACCGTGCTAGTAGTCGTGCACTTTTATCAAAGCACTAATCATGTCTTTGATGTTGTCACGCGTTGCGTGAAGGTCAGGACCTATTATTTTTCTGTAAATAGCAGCGCTTTCTGATGTTCCTCCATGGCAACATCTTATTGCATTGCATGGGTTCACGTTGCCGTGTTTTTTGCTGAAAGTACCTTGTGTCTCGGATTTTTGTTGATGCTCGCTCTTCGGGAATGTTCATTGTTGCATGTAATATCACCCAAGCATATCGACATTTGTCCGCTTTATCGTCCCATTCTACATCGTTCGTGCTTCTCTCATCCATGTTAGGTGCATCTTCGACCTTTGGGGGGGTTGGGTGCGGGCTGAGTGACGTACGCTCCGTGATGTCCAACGTCTTCGGCTTTCTTTTCGTGAAAAAACGATGCCTTGCTCCTGTCGATGGTTCAAGGTTGTTTCCCTTTTGAGCACGGGCTCCATAGATGGCAATTTTCACGTCCAAGGGTGAGGTCAACCTCCAAATCTTCAAGTGTGTGCAAAGGTACTGTTAGAGGTGGAAAAAACAAGTAAATATTTGTTGCTTTGTACAGGAAACGCACATCGTTTGACGCTGACTGAAAATAATGTCCCACAACAATGCTTGTCTAGAGTTTTTGAAGTTATCGTTTCGCTGTAGCGAAATAGCAAAATGCCTTTGAACCTTTAACAATACAAGTTTCATAGATGAACTTGGATGAACATGTGTAGTTCGCTGCAGCGAAAGGCAATTTTGAAGTGAACACCATTGTAAAATTGAGACGTGCAAGGTCTTTTTCGGAAGTCAAATGTTCCGAAGCGCAGGCTTTAAGACCTTTTTTGAACGCACCAGTTGTCAGCCCGTCGGTGGTTTTTGTTGCTCCGTATAAGGGTCCATTGTGGAGGTTATGCCCCCATGTCATTGCCTTGGATCGGCCTGAGGTCGGGCAGCGCCTGACGCTTAGGGGGGGAGTTCGACCACCGGACTGAGGTCGAGAAAGTTCGGAGTGGCCATGGGAATTTGATGGGATTTGCAAGGTTTCAAGACTACTTCAAGACCCTTGCGAGGGATTTAAGCTGATTTAGATTCCTCAACTGTCCGCAAGAGTCTTTTGCAGAGATTGAAACACACTTCAATCAACCTGAAGTTTAAAGACAGTTGCAAGGGTTCTGACCTCAACTCCTCGATGTGATGTTGGTAATGTTGGTAGTCTCCACTGTGCTTGAACCCAAGTGATTGATCGAATAAAACTGCTGATTCAGAGTTTGCAATGTGTGTTGCTGGCGCATGTTTGAGTATGGGAGATAGACTTTTTGCGCACAAAAATCACATAATGTTCTTCCATGTCAATATCTTATACTATATTGCATTTATATTATAGCGGATGATACAAAAACCAATCAAATCAACTACGACAATCAATGTACCGCCTGTTTCATTCTTGAGGGCATTCTCAGTCCATGTCAAGTGCAAGTTTGAGGCCGACCCCGACAAGCAGTGACGACAGCGCCATCGATGGACAAAATAGATCGGCCCACAGCCTTCCCGTGGAAAGCCCTGATGCTAGCTACAACAGCGAGACTTGTTGCTGATATGTTTACGACCTTCTAAAAAGTTTCAACAACTGCATGAAAAAGCTTGCTCCAAATTAGCTTATGATACTGATACTCCAGCAAATATCTTTGGGATGCATCCGTCAATTGCAAACATCTAGTTTGGAACCACCGGTTAGTCGGACCATTCATCCCTTATAACTTATAACCATTAACCGGTGGCCCGGTGGCCCCCTCATTTTCGTTGTTTGCATTTGTTTGCCAATTGCCACAGAACCACAGAATATCATGCATCACAACCGTTGGACCCCGAGTCTGGCCAAACGCCGCCACACGTATGGGCTGGGGAGGTGTTCCTTGGTTTCCATTCACCGGATGTGTGCACCCTCGGCATCGGCTCCTTCAGCAGAAAACTGCCGCGGCGAGACGTGTCGCTGCGGAGACATGCAGCAGAATGCCGCCTTGATGCCGGCACTGTGCGGGACTTGGTGCAGAGATGTCAAAAGGCTAATTGTCCTCACACCAAATGGGGGGTCATTTGCAAATGGGAAGAACACCGACAGCACCCCATAGATCTCCAGGATTCAGGTATTGAGGCTCGGCTCGGCTCGTGTAGCACAATCCCTTTCGATCGTCCAGGGCTGTCGGCTGGCCATCTCAGGCTGCCCCACGCCGCTCGATGGAGGCCCGAAAGAAGCAAATCAACTGGACATTGTGGATGGGCAACATTTGCCCAAGTGGTCCGTCAACACTTTGAACCGCTGGTGATCGCTGGTGCTGTCGTTGGTTTCTTGCAACCCCCCCACCCTCCATGGCTTTTACAGATTGGACAGACTCGCAGGGACTCAAAGTCTTTGATTTGCCATGCTCGATGTTCGTTGGGGCACTCTGGGGTGAAAAGGAGGCACAAGGACCAGGGCTGGTAGGCGTTTTTTATCGTTTTTTTCGTGGGATGATGTGGGATGGATGCATATAGGCCATAGCAAGGAGCTCCAAATCAATATTATGCTAAAGGCATGCCCAAGGAACAGGAGGAGGTTGAATCAGTCAAGATCATTGAACATCCTTGAAGTGGCCACAAGAGCAGCATTAGCCTAATACGAGCTGCTGCTCGCTGTTTGTCAGAGCGATTGCAGCCAGAGATGGAATGTCGATCAAAACTTTTCTTTTGGGGAGACAATCGAATCTATCCTGGTGAAGATCCACTGTTCAGTTGCAAACATGCATAGGCTCACCAGAACTTGGAGTTGGGAAGCTGAACACCCTTGTGGCCATAGGTCAGCAACGGCAACACCGAAAGCAAGCAAACCCTTTTTGATCTTTTGTTTCGCTCTAGACGAGGCTGAAGACCCTCAAGTAGATAGCGACCAAGCAGCTCACTGACGGTCATCTCGTCCGATCTCTTGAGCCGGCGACCTGCGCCGACCGACGAGGCTCTGGATGTGGACCACCTTTTGGAGCAGCTCTTAGAGGCTTTTGGAGAGAAGATGGGAGGGATGAGGTGCAGAGTGAGCAAAGGCCAAACTCAGGTTCCTTAGTTTCATTCCTTTCGATCTGGGGGGGAAAACTCTGAGGCACTGTGAAAAACTGATCATCGGAATAGCACTCCTGCTTGCATATCCCTGCTTATTTGGATGGCCCTGGGGAACGTGGCGAGTCATGGTTGTTGGGGTTCTTTTGAGCCTGGTTGGTGCGAAGGATTTCCGAAACAGCTGTCCCCTTTTGTAGCTTTCCAAGAGGATGTGTTTGCGTACCAGAGTATCTTAGCTGATGTGTATGTTCTTCATCTTGGATTTGGAGCCCTCTTCAAGAAAAGCGTTGGAGAAGAGCCTCTTTCTGTAGTCGACCCAAGGGCAGGGGCGACAGTGCATGCGATCCGTCAGATCCGCCATATTCACAGGTGCCATTGCTTGACGGATGTGCCTCTACCATCCTCTAGCACAATATACTCCCTTTGACCATGGTCTTTTAGACGCCTGAGATAGCTTGGAGTGCATCTTCAGGTTGGATATCCTCAAGACCATCCCGGACGCTACTAGGGGCTCCTGGCCTTACTACTAGGAGCAAAGGACGCTACTAGGGTCTCCTGGCATCGCTACGAACGGAGCAAGGACGCTACGAACGGGGCTCCTCCAAACCCACCCCTTTCGCTCGGCCGAGCAAGCTCGTGCACACCAGGTCCGGCACACCAGACCCCCGAAGCTCGTGCAGCTTACAGAGGCTGAGATCAGTACACTATGCCGCTGGGCGGAGTTGACCCGACGGGGAGTGGAACAGATATTTGAACATATGGAATATACCAATACCGCATGAGTTGACACAGTGAATGTTCTTGTCTTGTCTTCCTAAGACTCGGAAAGAGGAAGGAAGTTGGAAATGGATCCTCCATATTGGAACGTCGTTTCACACGAGTTGACGAACATGCTCACCTTTACGTTCAAGGTTGTCCTGGATGAAGCCAGTCAGCGTTAACAAGTGTTTAAACACTGTTTAAACATAGGGGATGGAATTTCCTCTACAGAATCGCAGGGGTTGGGACCCCGATAAAGCGATTTTTTTTGCAACTTTTTCTTGGCTCATATGGAGGCTTGTAAGTACCAATCTGGAAGTTTCTCGATTTTATAGATAATTGCTGTTTTTTACAAGCTCGATTCTGTAGAGGTTTTCAAGTGATGGTGCAGTGGATCTTGGTGCCTCAGACATACTGATTCTATAGAGAATTGTTAGCATGATTTTGCATGTTAGGAACTGCAATTCCATAGAGATTGATGTGTTTTCAATTCTTCGAGTTCAAAACTCGATCCTTACCTCTCCATGACACCCTCTTTTTTCTCTATAGATTTGTGGTCCTACCAACTGGGAAATCAATGCCTTCCTCGACAGTTGCATTTTTATGTTTTCTTCAGAACCCTGTACCTTGATTCTATAGAGATCCAGTTTCTTACTCCAATTGAAAAAACACCTGCTCGGGAGTACCTCAGGACCTGCATTTTATAGATCAACATCCTCAATGTTCGCGGCTTTTGACACACTCATGACCCTCAATTTTATAGGGTCAAACAATGACCATTTTTGGAGGGGGGTTGGTCCCATCATTTTAGCACGATAAAATCGCTACCCCGGGGTAGGCACTTAATTCCAACCCCGATGTTTAAACAACATATTTAAGAGAGTGACTCTAAACACCCTCCTCCTCACCGCGCTTTCTTTCAGCAAAAGGATATGTTTCAGCGAGGCACTTTCACCGGTCAACACCGGCACAGAGACCCGGTCCCAGCCTTGGCGCTAAGGCTTCCTTTCACGGGAAGTCTTCATGGAACAGCTACTGAGCGGAAAGACAGACGGAGTGGGGATTGGAAGAGGAAACACGGTGTCGTCTCGTTTCTCTTTTTCGCACTTGATGTCGTCGTTCTCAACTTATTTAGCATTTTTTCATGGATGGGACCCACATTGCCAAGACAATGATTCTAAGGCTACTCGTAGGAATCATAATATATCATATAGTTGGGTTGTGACAGTTGTTGCATGCACCCTAAGAATCAAAGTTTTTGTTACAAGAAGGTTAAATCCATCACCACCCCCGGGAGCGCGGTGGTGGAGACCCTCTACTTGGCTGGAACAATTGCGTTTGGTTGTGGTGGGCCACAGAATCGAGTAGAATCAGGATTCTTCGCAGTTTCGGTGGAGGCTAGTCCAGTAATTAGAGCAACCATGCACATTAGTCTCGGTGCGAGGAGCGAGGAGGGGAGTGCCGATAGCACACACACCCAATTCGAAGACGCAGGGCTGTTTGGTTCAGGCTTGCACTAGACAGCTGTCAGTCCATGTGTTTGATGTTTCGACCTTCAAAAACTGGGCACTTGCTAAAGGACCAACGGGTATAAATGACCACACATGTCTCAAATACCTGCAAAAACCAGGCCCATACTTCTTGAACTTGGAGTTCCACTGAAGATTTGTGGCGATGTCCACGGACAGTGCCCTGGCTTCGTGGTGACACGGCAAATCCATCGACATTGATGGTCAATCAGCAGCATAGAACTGAGCGTAACGTTTCTATCACCTGTTTGCTACTCTATTCAGTACACAGGGACCAAAAAGAACCTCTGGAAACAACAGACACAAAGTAGCTGTGCTTGGTGGGGTGCTCACTGAGCAAGTCTTTGCTTGAACAGAGCAAACACTAGTGAGTTCTCCCGACGGGGCATACCACGAATTTTTCTGGAGCGCCATGCTTGATGTAGCTGACTACCCACCACTACCCACTGGGACACATGTCCTGAGGTTGATTGGGTGCGATGTGTTCAGTTAAGAACACAAACCTGACCCTTCTGCTTCAGGGTGAAGGGACAGTGACACCACAGGTGCTCTTTGCCAAAGTGACAATATGTTGCCTGCCTCGGAGCCCTGGTTGAACAAGCATACAATCTGCAGAACTGGATGCGAGGATGGATGATGTTCTCTCGTATAAGAATATGAGAATATAACATAATTATAGTATATTATAGTGTTATAAAGTGTTATATAATCTTAAGCAGTTAAACGGCAATCATTTGCACACACACACACAATTTCGATCCACTGCCAGGTACTCTGATCTCCTTAAGCTGTTCGAATGCGGCGGCTTTCCTCCCGAGGTGCGCCTTTGCTTGCTCCCATTGCACTATGGGAGTGAATGGGTTTGATTTCCGTGAGAATTGATGCGTTATGGTCACGTTGGTTGTCTTTCCAAAGTAAGTAAAGATGTGGGCTGACAATGGCTCGCATGTAAAACATCATGTGAGTTTTATACAAGGCTTAATTATGTTCTTAGTGGGACCGGGCGAGGAGGCTCAACAACTACAGGAATCTTGGGAACATTGTATCAGAAGGATCTTTTCTGTTTCAATGATTAACCATTGACTAAGCTGCAGATTTGCGGAGAAACCAATCGGAAGGGTTGCTGAAAGTTGTTGAGAGAACTCGGAACTGCTCAGATTCATCAACAAATGCAATTCTTGCACAATTCTGAAAGACTATGACCTCCTCAAATCTCCAAAAGTCTCTTGCATCTGGAGGCCAACTACCTCTTCCTGGGAGACTACGTGGATCGGGGCAAGCAGAGCCTTGAGACGATTTGTTGTTTGCTGGCCTACAAGGCCTCAGCCGAGCTCGGAGAGTCAAGACCGGAGGGCAGGAGCTCCGTTCGTAGCGTCCGAGCGTCTCCGTTCGGTTCGCGATGCCCAGCTCCGTTCGAGTCGCGCCCTCTTGCTCCGTTCGTAGTAAGGCCAGCCCTACGATCGTAGTGTCCTTGCTACTAGTCTCACTGCCGTCAGTTTTGCTTGTGCAACTTTACTTGTCAGACACTAGAATCACTAGAATTTTGACACTTTCAGAACTTGGCAAGCCGTGCGGACAAAGTTGCTGAGATTTGCTGACGTTCACCGGTGGAGACAGATCAGTGTGGTGTAGTTTCTTTTATCTTCTTTTGTTGTGAATAGAAAGCCATGGGAGCCAAAGATTCTTTGTTATCTTTGTTTCATTCTTGAAAGTCATCGCCCTTGAGATCCCAAGATCATGTTTTTCGCATCATATCAACACACTTGGGCGGCGTCCTCTATGCGGCGGCGTGCTCTGGACACGCCATGTTTCTTGGAGTGAAAAAGGCTGCTGACTGCTGTTGGAGACTCATTTTGATATTTTACGTTACACCTTTTGTAGATCATGTTTTGAATCCCTGAACTTTTGGTTGATTTTTTTTTGGCGCGGGGACACCGGCAACACCTGTGTTTCAAGCCATAACACGCTCAATTGCTTTGCTGATAGCAGTCCCAAGCGGTCTGGAAGGTTGAGGGTTGACCCCGTCGCACATCCAACGGCTGGAGGCCCCGCTAGACGATATGACACATGCTGGGACTGACCTCTCAGCCTTGATGGTACTACATGTCCCACGCCAGCGGATCGTAGACAAGCTTAGCATGTTCTTTGTGGTTCCATGAGTGATTTTCTCCAACCTGACTAGAAGACAAGGTTTGGAGGGCGCACCGCTGCTTGCGGACTCTTTGGCCAAGAAATTGCAAGAAGCTTTGCTCTTGGCCAAGTTGGAAGATTTCGCCAAGGAAGGCGCGGCTTTTTATCGGTCCGCGCAGCGTCAACAAGCTGCTTTGTAAACATTTACAATGGATTACATCTCTAATGACTAATGACTAAACTATGGCAGGAGTTGTGTCTATGGAGCGCGTACGCGGAAGGCCAAGGGGAGGCGCCAGGTCTGGGTCGCCAGGTCTCAAAGCACTGCCCTTGTCTGTGACCAACTGCGTGGTTCAATTCCATGCTGAGCTGCAGGCTGTGACATGTCAGAACTATGGCTAACAGCGAAGGATCCGGAATACAGGTACTTGGTACTTGTAGCATCTTGTAGCTGAATGTAGCTGGGATCTGTCTTGTGAATGGACCGGAGGGTCTTGACACCAATGAGGTTGCAGAGAACACGAGCACGAGCAGATCACCAACACAACATGTCTTCGCATTTCTTGGAGCATCAATGAAACTTTCCAAGGCCTTTACGGTGGTGGACGTAGCGACCAACTACGACTTCTCGAACCTCTCAAGTGCTTGGTTTGCAACGATCAGACTTGAAGTTTGTGGGCTGAGACACATTGAGACACCCCAGCGGCTTTTTGGTAGAACTGAGCTTAAGCATGTTGAAGCGCATACTTTCAGGATCTGCAGGACAGGGCTCATCCGAAAAGAAAAGCTACTACTGAGCGTCCTGCTTTCGTTTGTGCATCCTTGTCCTTGGCCCTTTGGACACTTTATGGGATGCTTGAACCAGACACAGAAGACGTGAAACTGGAAGGTGCCCTTGATATGAGTGATATACGAAATTGCATACATGTCCCCAAACAAGCGAAAGAAGTGCTCAGTCCCTCCTAGGACCTAGGAGGATTTGGACGATGATTTTCCTTTTGCAGATCCCCTTCCAATCTCCTTATAAAATATTCTATCCTTAGATTTCCAGCTAGGGTATCATTCGCACATACACCAGCACAGCCATGCACAGCCACGGGGGGTCGAAGGCTTGGAGGTGGATGAGCCCAATGCTCAGCAGTTCGTGGAGCAACTGGGACCTGGCAAAAGACCCTTGTGGGCCGTGCCGGTCATTTTGAGGCGCGGGCCGCTGGTCTGACAGAACGACTTGATTCTTGTGAAGCTGTGCTATTTTAGTGGAAATGGTTTGCTACAGAATCATGAACAAAGATGAACAAAGGAAATAAAGACAATGGGGTTTGCGGAAGGAAACGTTTGAAAGATGCCCTGGTTAGAAAATCAGATCATGGAATGGGCATTTGGCGAACAAAGAATGAGCCATGGTCTGGAAGGGTCGGAGATTCAGGGCTTTCGAGTCAGCAAATGTAAGAGAGTTGAATCTGAACAACAGCGTGCCAGCATTCCGGGTGTACTGCTACTGGCATGCCACCTAGTATTGACAAGTATATCAACATCAACATATCGGAGCTGACGCATCTCTCGGTACGATGTACATATTGGTGCTCTCTCTCGGAAAAAAGGCACCTGTCACATCCTGGCGCATCCTGTCTCGTCCTCCGTTTCAGAACCGTTCAACCTCAGATGGACTTGTTGAAAGATGGACCGTTTTCAACCGCAGTCCGTGTCCCCCTAATGAGTGAAATAATGTCCACCTCCTAATAATCAACCCCCCCCTCCCCCCTTGATCAAGTGTGGGCACCAAATAATGTGAAATCCAGAAAAATCCTAGACAATCTTGATTTGAATTGGACATGAAAGGAAAGGAACGGAGATTGAAGGAAAGGAAACGAAATGAAAGGAAAATGAAAGGAAAGGAAAGGAAATTGAAAGGACAATGAAAGGAGAGGGAAAGACATGAAAGGAACATGAAAGGAAAGGAAAGGAAATTGAAAGGACAATGAAAGGAAAGGAAAGGAAATCACGAAAAGAACCAGCCAGGGATTGTTTAGTATTTGAGGCCTGGAGTAATTGAAGGTTTGGGCTGCTCGTGGGGGGTGGTCTTTGTGGGTTGATTTCAGGTTGCAAATTGCAATGCCCAAATAAGCAATGTCAAAAGGAAAATGCAGCAGCCAAATCAAAATTCCAGAGTAAAGGAAACCACAAAATAATCAGATTTTGGAATCAGCTGAAAGCTCAGAATCAGCTTGGATTAATCAAGGTCTGGAAGCAGCTGAAAATCAAGGTCCAGAAAACATTTAGTATTTTTATTCACGGGCCATTTACTATTAGGAAGTCAACATTACTCATGAGCCGGTTCGTCTTAAGTGTTGAACAAAGACCTTTGCAGGCCCAAGAATGCTGGGCTTGTGATGGTAACTTGGCGTGATTTTAAAGAATTTTGTCTTCAGCAGGTGGTTCAACATCTGATCACCTTGACAATTTCATCATTGATTCTGCCCTACAATTACAAAGTAGATTGATTTCAACCTTGTGGCACTTTGACAATCTTTGACCTTTGTCATCCTTTGTCGCTTGGCTTTGAGATGCTTTCGATGCTTTGACTATCAGGTCTTCAGCTCCGTTTTCCGGGAGAGCGGATCAGTGAGATCTCACATGGTGCCCTGGCGTGTGAGGCGAAGTTCTGCTGTAGCACCGAACCGACATGATGTCGCCAGTGCCGAGGTTTGGATGGTATAAAGGTGATTTCTATCAATGGTTGAATGCATGTTCCCCGATCAGTTTTATTATGATAGGCTCTGGCTCTGAAAGAAAAAGTGAGTCAGGCAATTCATAGCAATTCCCAATACAGCAAGCATATTATATTATACTACTTCTGGGTGAGATTTCCGGGATATTCCGCTCCTGACTGAAGTGATTACTCTTTCGTGGCGTGCCTCCCCCCCTTCCCATGTGAGGTGAAGGCGTTGGCGGTGAAAGAGCTGAAACATTGGACCTTGCGGAATGCCAGGAACCTGGAGGCCAGGCATATGGGGATGGGTCAAAACCTGGAGCTCCAAACCCTGGGCCCAGTTGATCTGGCTAGGAGGTCAACCAAGGTGCCCCCAGTTTTGACCCGCAGCCATATACAGAGACGGAGAGGACGGTGAGGGATCAGGTCTTGGCTGGAGTTGCGTGCGAACGTGGCTTCTGTGTCGCTTCAAGTCTTGCGCAACATTCCTTTATAGACGCCACTACAAAGACACAGAAGCCTTCAAGTCTGTGTCTGGGCTTTGAGTTCTCTCGGTTTCTGGCTAAAATCAATCTTTACCACTACAAAGATTTGTCAGAGACCACGCTGCAAGCTGATCCCCTTTGCTCCTAGTAGCTTCTTGCTCCTACCTCCCCGACAGTGGAGCCACCAAGTTATATAAGAGGTTTTGGAGTCGAGGAAACAAAGTTAAAGAAACGCAAAGCGCACTAAACCCTAGGTGTCGAGGAAGAAGAGCAACGAGTTTTGGAGCTCCACCATTCTTTTCAGCTAAAGACATTAAGACAAAACCCCATGAGCCTCCTTCCCAGCCTTTCCCGTTATTTCCCGTTTCAGCCAAAAATGCTTTCAGGGTTGATTGAGTGATCAAGATTGGTCTGGCAGTCTACGCAGCATTAGATCAGTCCAGTTCTGGTGATAGCGGTCAAGGTGATGAGGCACCAGGCTACCCGGCAAGCTTGCAAGCGCATACGATCGCTGCAACACACGGCAGCAAGGGGAGTTCTTTTTTGTTTTCAAAAAGAGAGGTTCTCTCCGATGAGTGACGAAGTTTCACTCAGCTTGGTGAGTTTCAGGGAAACGCCATGGGGCAATGAGGGCACCTATGATAGAAGGTCGTACACCTTTCACCAGGCCCATATAATAGGATCCATAAGAATCTATTTTTAAAACGCGAGGTGCGACTGGACCCTGATCTTTTGGACAGGTCACCTTCCTGTCTAAGCAAGGCATCAACACTGCCACTGGGTCAGCACTTTTTGTATCTTTTTGTATATTTATTATGGTTTCGTACAAGTGCGAGATTCGCATTGGAACTGGTGCTCTTTTGTAGCTTTGCTCATGCCAACTCATGCCCAAGACTGACCACCTATTTATTTTTGAGTTGTCATGTTCTGTTGTTTTCACCCTCACAAGTGATGGGGTTACTTGGCCCAGGCGCCGCAGGAGGTGGTGCTGGGCGGAGTGAAAGAAGCGCTGAAACACTTTGACAAACCTGCGGACGATCGCGGTGACGCAGGTACGATCGGAGGGTCGAATTGGGTCGAAAGTGGAATGTAACACAATATTGAAAAACACATTTAAGTCTAAATGCATAAAATAGTATTTGATATTATTTGATTCTATGTTGCTTGTTGCAGTTCGCAAGACTGTCACAGCCATTTCAATGAATGTCCACCACCCCTTTCATCTCCTCCACGCCCTGCACACGCCTCGCTGGTTGCAGGTGACGCTGTCCGTGCCCAGTTCAGAACCGCACAGCGCTGTGAGAAGGAACTGCTGGAGGCGGAAGCCCGAGCTGCCAAGAAGGTGCGGCTGGAAGTTTGGGAGCACCAGTTCGGTTGCTCCAAATGGGGTTCACCGCCGAAGAACCAGCTGAGCAACCGATGCAGGTTCTATCTAGTGGGATGCTAGACCGCCCATAGATCTCTGAGAGTTGGATCCAAAAAGCGTCAATTGATGGTGGTTTATACACTGATTCATGAATGAGTAACCACATCTTATACGTACCACATCTTATATTATATTATATAAGTATTATACGTACACTTGCCTATTCAATCGTATTAAGAGTATTCACCCCATCTTCCAGAGTTCACTGCACGGATCCTGGATGGGATTCCCCCCCCCAACCGGGATCCGATCAGGAAGCGTCGCGTTCCATGAAGCGATGGTAGGCGATGTTCCATGACTCCACTCGACTGCAAGCGTTGCATGACATTGTTCGGTTTCATTCAACGCCAGTGGCCAGTGGTCATGCATCAACGCCAGTGGTCAGTGGTCAGTGGTCTCATTTGTTGCTGACAATTGGCCTCATTTGTTGTTGTGATCCATGCTGAACGGTGAACGGTCGAGTCGAAAGCAGAAAGCCAAGGAGCAGAAAGCCAAGCAGGCCAAGCACAACCGCAAAGCTTGCCCTGTTTCTTGGCATGGAAAGAAACGCGTTCAGTGAATGCTGGATTCAGATTCGCAAAACAATCCCTCAACCGACACCGCTACCCCCCGTATATAAACATAGATGCAACTGAATTGCACTTCAGACATTGTGTGCGACATTGAAGGTGATTCCTGCTACTCAGCCGCTCTCTTGCAATGGAGCTGTGCCCAGCAGAGAACTGGGTGAGTACGAAGAGAGCAAAGGCTCAGATTTGGAGGCTTGCGCTGGTCGTGAGTCGTTTTTATGGTGTGATGATTTGAGCTTGGATCGTTTTGAGGACAGTGAAACAGTGCCTTGCTACTAGGAGCAAGGACGCTTACTAGTAGCTCCTGGCCTTGCTACTAGGAACAAGAAGCTACTAGGGGCTCCTGGCATCGCTACTAGGAGCAAGGACGCTACTGAGGAGTCCCACGGTCCCACCAATTCCAGTTCAGTTGTCTCTGTCGACCACCAGGGCAAAAAAAACTAGGCGCAACGACTCAGGCGGTGCCGCACGTGCCCGCTGAATCGGTGTCCGATCTCCAAAATCAATGATGCATTCTTGTGGATTCCATATCTCCGTGCTGCCCCAAGCAATTCCAATTTCTGCATCCATGTGGGTGCAAAAAAGAAGAACACATGCTGAGCTAAGTTGAGCATCCATAGGTCGCATCGGGTCCTCTGGCCGCTTCAGCTTCTTGACCATCGCCCTTCTCAGCCTTCCCAGGCTGACGGGGCCAACAGCCTTCTCGAGGCCTCCCAGCCATCCATTTTCCAGCTCCTCAGCGGCTGGCTGGGCTCGGTCCGGGCGGAGGAATCCTGCCATCGTGTGGCTTGGGCAGGAAGAAGCTGAGTGTCCGAGGAAGGAAGGAAGATGCGAAAACTGGACGGAGGCTTTGGAAGAGGAGGAGGAAAAAATCTCAAGCAAATAGACGATGTGAAAGACAACCATCAAGTGACCGGTCTTGAAAGAGAGATCCAGCTGAGGTGGTAAATGCCAACCTATGGCACTACCGGCGAAACGAGAATGCCTGCTGGCGCTTGAGCCCTGCTTGCATGATCTGAGATGTATTGAGTGGTTGCATCATGTTCTCAACCTGCCCAAACCGGCTTTTTGACGTTGTTGTTCACTTTTTTCTGCTTCCCCTGTGGATCATTGTGGATCCCAGTGGAATGTCATTCATTCCAAAAACGACGCCCATCATCCATCTCACGTTCCGAGTTCTGTTTGGAACAGCTGCACCGAACCCCCAGGAGCTATCTCCACAGGTCTGGTGCGTTCACAGACCGACACAACTCGATGCACATCCACTGCCAGCATTGCGCGGATCGCTGTGGCATTTGCAGCTGTGTACCAAATCCCTGGCGTCCTTTGCCGGACCTGGAGCCCGACACTTGGCGATTTGAAGTGAATAATTGGCTCCCAGTTTCTTGGCACATGATGCTTCAACTATCTTCAACTGGTCTTCAGCCTTTCCAGTGGAGTTTTTCTTATCGTTTTTTTGGTCCTAGAGTTCTACCTTCAGGCGCTTGGAGCTTCAACCTGTTTGGGCTCTTGGGCTTTGGACCGTAGATGAAACTCAGGATGGCAAGGAGCCGCAGCTGCTACTTACAGCTGGGGGTTTGGTCACTTGACTGGCATGTAGCCATGGAGAACAGCGTCATTGACTTGTTTGCTGTACGAGGAGTCGAGGCTGAAGGCCTTCTTCTGGTCAACGAAGGGGGGCTGGCTGGCAGGTGGTTACCTTATACTTGCCTTTCGTTCGTCGAGCATAACTATTTGGTTTGGGAGACAAGCGGGAAAAATGTGACTGGATTCAAGATCATTGAATGTTCCCAAAGGTGTCTACTTAACTCCAGACCAGGACCTCCACGAGCTGTGCGGGGTATATGTGTGGGTAGCAGCACTGAGGTCAGTACTTGAGACTTGATGTTCTCGATATTAGTTCTTGCAAGGACATTACAGTGAGAAACCATGAGAAACCACTACTCACGATTGGCAAATCTGGTCAATGATCCAACGGTCATACGACGACCATACAGTCAGCGCTACGCAGCGAACAAGCGAGGCAGAGCCACCCGGTTTGGAGCCGGAGCTTTCGGACATCTCTTTGTGGCGCCACTTGCTCCGGGGCACCCATGGCTTTTCTTTGCATGGCCCAGAGCCTGTGAGCCTCTTTCCGGAAGCGCCCGAACTGGCCAGGACTCGATCGGGGGGTCTTGAAAGATAGAAGCGAAACTCCGGCTCTGCTGGGTGAGGGTCTCTGGTGGGGGGGTGATGCCTTGAGAGGGCCAACTTGAAGGACTGGCCTAGGATGGCCGAGTCAAGAATTCTACAATCAATTATAATCAGGGTAGTGACGCTTGGAGTCTGAGAAGAGGACGCAACGCCGCATGAATTCGCTTACATTGTGCAAATTTGGTTCAGGAGTTCCTGTAAGAAGAATGTCAAAGACCTAACAAGCTTTCGGATCTGGAAGTCTTCTTGGAACACAAAGCAAATTCTTAAGAAAACTCCTCTTGCTGCCCCAGGTCTTCTTGTGGTACTGTAGCAGTTTCTTCCTTGAAGAACCCTCTGGCGATTGCCAGGACGGCTCGCATGCGGCAGCGCAATGCTGGTTGGCGCCGCTGGTGGTTGTCTTGGCGGAAAACTCAAGGCCAAGAGACAGAGATGTCTCTTGGAGAGGAGGTGCAATGGCCAAAATGTTCAGAACATGCAATGAATCGGCATGGATTTGCATGTGTTTGGCAAAAGTAGCACGACAGTTTGGAAAAACATGGAACAACTGCATGTATGAAGACACCTGACGTGTGAACGGAGCTGTTTGATTTGCCGAATGCAAGGCATGTGGCTATTCTTGGGTGGGCTCTCCAGCAGCACCAACCCCCATGGTTTTCATGTCGCTTGGTCGATACAAATACAGCTGCTTGCAATAGGGGGACCCTCCAAAAGAACGGGTAAACAGTCAATCGTTCGTTTTACTAGGTGTTCTTTGGCGGGTCTCCATTCGAGTAAACTCCTGAGCATGCCTTGTGTTTGTTGTTGTTATATAAGTTGCATCAACAAATAATGCTAAATTCCTGTTTGTTAGTATTTCAAGGTTCATGAAACTTCCTGACCCCAGAACGAGGCCAGTGCCTGTGCACCTTTGTTGGAAAGTCCAGCAATACATCGAGCAGCTCCAACACGAGCATGAAGGGCACCATGCACACGGAGACTTGGCTGGATGTCCTGATGTCCTGGTTGGTTTGATAGAGTGCCTATCCCAGAGTTGTTTCCATGTTTGGACAAGTTCTGGACATCATATGACAGCATGTTTTTCCTGACACCGTCACACTATATCACTATAATATATATATATATATATAGAGATAGATAGATAGATATCGCTAGATAAAACCTGACTTTCGTTGTTGACTTAGCATTTCTCCCAAGGTGCACTGCTCTGCGATCGCTTGACTCTTTGATTGCTCATTGCTTTACCTTGACCTGCATGCCGTGCAATGGCTCGGTCAAGGATTGTACATAGAATATAGAAGCATCGCGTCCAATGCGTGCTGAAGTTTGTACATAGATCAAGCCTGATGGAGGTTATCCCGATTGGCAAGGCCCCGGTTGAAAATGACGCCGTCAGCATTGAGCCCCTGTGAAGACAGGAAGAAGATCGAACCATATCAAACCTCATCACCCGAACGTTTGTAGGACTTTGACGTTTGCTGAACATACTGGAAGATATGTACAAATGAACCAAACAAAATCTCCGGAGTTTGCCTCCACAAAAAGAAACATGAGTCATGAGTCATGAGCCATTGGAAAGACCAGAAGTGTGAGTTGAACAAAAAGACATCAGAGTTCAGAGTGGCCGTGATTTCATCTCACTTCTAACCAAAGCAAGACCGTTGCGCCGTTGAGTATTTGTTCTCCTAGACTTGGGTCAGAAATCATGTCCAAACAAAGAGATGAGAGCGTGAGCGAGCGTGTGAGCGCTGTTGGAGGTGAAATTTACAGACAACTTTTTCCTCTTGCGGGGCAATCACGAATGCGTCACTTGGAATGAGGAGCAAGGACGCTACTAGGGGCTCCTTGTCCCGAACTACGTCACCCTTCAGGCCACAATCACACCTGAGACTTCATGTTCTTTCTCACGTTTCGCAGTTCCCCTGTCCACTACCCTTGCTTTTTGTAGCCTTGGCTGAAGCTTTCTTTAATTAATTAACTAATCAATTAAATATAACTATAGTTTGGTTGATTAATGTTTTCTCCAAAAGCAACATTTGTACATAATTGGGAACGTTGAAGTTGTTTAAAGGGGACAGCCAGATGAAGCATGCCAAACAGAGCACATCGAAGGAAGATGTTTGGGCCAAAAGGCACAATTTTACACAGCTAAGTGTATATGTATGTAGATCACAAACGTCACAACTTGTATTTTCTTGGCCTCCCGGAAGCTGAGGCCTCAATCAACCGCATTTATGGTTTTTATGATGAGTGCAAGCGACGGTATAGCATCAGGCGAGATGGTTATGGATGGTCCCTCCCTGAAGTGTGGGCGAGTGTCGGAGTAGCCGCCGAGTTGGAATAGACATGTTGTGGCTGGTTATTTTGGAGATCCATGCCACTGCAACTGGAGAGAACATTGCACCTTTTTTGGTCACTGCAACGGTCACTCCAAGCAAGCTACGACAGATAGGATCCATTTCGGAGTTTGCCGAGGCTTTACATTCGACAACTCTTGGTTGTAGACTTGTTGTTGCGTGCTGATTCCGCAATACAGTGGTGCATGCTCATCACACGCTGGTGCTGAGTCATTCCAAGGCATGCGGCATGTCTAACTTAACTTTATGATACTTTATGGCTCATGTATTTGTATTTGTTTGTGTGGTTTTGATTTGCACCCATGTTTTAGTATGTTTGGCATGTTTGACTTTCCAACTTTTGCATACATGTCAAGCCTCGGACCCTTGTATGACTATAAACACATTGTGTTGGTGTGGCCTTGGCAAGCACCTTTCACTACGCTTGTTGGATTACATATGTATATATAACTATATATATTCAGAATGTACATATATTAATTATATATAATGTAATATAAATAAATAAAATATACGCATGAAGAGCAATAATTATGCACATCATCGATAATAACAGGCATTGATTCCAAGGGTTCATGGCCACAGGCTGTGGAAGACCTTTACCGACTGCTTCAACTGCCTGCCAGTGAGTGCAGCCGCATGCCTAGAATGGACAAACATGGAGGTTGACCACCCACTTTGTTGCAGAACCGCCCTTGTGTGAAACCCACTCGCTGATCCTTGCATTAAGAGATACAGTAGATCAGGAGATCCCCAGCAAACGCTCTGTTTGTTCATATTAAGCAGGCAGAAGTAACAAGCACCAGGTTAATGGACTTGGCTGATTTTGACCTTTGTTCTTCACCTTGCCATAAGAAGCCGGTTTAGAGTCTAGAGTGCAGAGGCTGGCTCCAGCCACGCTTCTGAAACTATGCACGTTCCCGAAACAATGGCCAGTTTCAGACCTATAGTTTGTGAACCGTGGCTTCAGAAACCGTTTTCTACCCCGGGCCACACATCCAAATAACTCCGGAGGTTGCCTCGAAAAGCCGTGAAAAAGAGGACCACTGACTGGACAAGGTTGCTAGTGTGTGTAGGTGCCTAGCACCAGTTTAAATACGCTTCTATTTGGGACCACACATAGAGTGCCAATGTTTTTGGAGCCCATGACGGGGTGCCAACTCAGGTCATTGAAGATAAGATCGTGTGCATGCACGGCGGTCTTTCACCCGAACTTGGCGCACCGGGGCGTGGCTTCCCAGATGTTTGTGACTTACGCAGGGTACGTGCCTTGCGTGCCCCGCTTGTTGAAAATAGATCATGTATATTGATGTGTTCCCAAGGTTTGCCGCTGTGCTTGATATAGTGGCTAGCGGCGATTGTTTAAGTTTAGAGAGACGTGATCGCGCTTTTCTTGTGAAGGTCTGTTGGGGGAGCTTTTTTGGTACTCTTATACTGTCTAAAGCATTTATGTGCCCATGCCGCTTTGCATTGCAAAAGAAATGGGAGCCAGTGGCGGATAACTACTTGATTCATGCTCAAGAGTGCACACTTAAAGCATCAATTAGAAAGCCACATGGATGTTTGGATACTATTGGAGCTGTTGTTGCCGATATTTTTGAGTTTTGCATTTTTTTGAGATAATGGTGAAGCACCTCTTCGATCAATCGCGCTATGTCGAGGTTTTATTTGACACCCTGTCATTTGATTGTGGGGCATCGCATGGCATCGCCTTCCAAATCATCCACTGAAAACTGAAAACCTCTTTTGAGTGAGTTCTAATGAAATAGGGACACAGTGACAGTTGGTGGAAAGACTCCCATCATGCTGATCGACTCGCTTTTGTTTGGTGCCGAGGCAGATCAATCGGGTCATCAGGCCGACGGATGTGCCAGACACAGGCCGATCGGATGTGCCAACGGATTGCCAACGGACCATTGACCTGCCCCAAAACACAAAAAACGGATGGACAAGCGAAACAAACTAGGGGCTCCTGGCACCGCTACTAGGAGCAAGTACTAGTATGTTACAAAAAACTACTGGTAACAAGGGCAAAGAACTTGCAATGAAACGTACTTGCACCGCTGTATATTCCGAAGAGACCTAATTAGAAAGAATGAGTCAGAACGTCTCATTCTTTCTTGTATCCTCAGGATCTGTGAAAGATGTGTTTGCATGATCTCCGAAGCCCCCCAAAACAGCTGTCGTCGATTCGAGCGGCTGCATGCAGGCTTGCTGTGTGACTTGCTCTGGCAGCTTGGAGATTGTTAACTCAAACGAACGTTTTCAGCCAGCCGCCAGCCTGTTGTTGCAAACCTGCAATGGCAATCTGGCTGCGATGGCAGTCGAACTTACCACCTGCCAAACTACTGGCTTGCAAAAGGAAGAACCCTCAAAAGAGTTCAAAAGATGCATATTATGCAGGACTCAGAAGACTAAGACGGCTAAGGGTCAGGACGACACCTGAACTCACACCACGTCTAGACGTGTGATGTGTGTGTGGCCTGACAAATGCGCGTTTCACGAGGTCAGATCCAGAGAAAGAGATCAGCGGCTGGGGTGAAAATGACCGATGATGTCGTGGGCAAGGGTTTTTGTGAGAGTTATGGTGGAGGCCATCGCTACAAGGTCGCAGGGCATCGCTACTAGGTTGGAGGCCATCGCTATTAATTAGATTGGAGACCATTGCTAGTAGGTTGGAGGCCATCGCACGTTAAAGAGTGTTAAACCATGAGTGGCCAGAGCTTTTCTCAGTTTGCCGTTGTCACATGTTTCATTCGAGTCAGACAGGGTCTGCGAAGTATTCATTTGTTTGGCATGGTGTGTAAAGCCATCAGAAAACAAAACACGTAACCTCTCAGCAGACTGCAACTCAGTCAGGTGTCTCCCCAGGGAAGATATTTTCTGTTTCCCAGTTTCCAGACATTCTTCTCAGTCGGTCTTTGACGAGTGCTGTCAGCACCTGGTGTCGCTAGAGAGAGCGCTATACAGCCCAAAGCCCAAAGCACTTGTACAGTACTGGAACAAAGCAGCCTAGTACAGTAAAAGAGAGCAGAGCACCCTTCTTCTGTGCATGCCACATATAAGTTCACAGGAGCCTTTTCTGCAGGTGAAGACTCGATCAGAGTGAGAAAGGTCATTGAAAGGTCCTCCTATGGATTTGGCGCTTGCTGCTTGCTTGTCAAATCAACATACCTCCTGTCCGACAAGTGGTCCCATGTCTTTATATTTTGTTGGGTTCAGCTCAGTCTATCGAAGTTCCCTCGCAACAAGAGCCTGTTGTTTTGTGTGCTCACTCCTTGTTGGTAATTGCCAGGTTGTCAAGAAGACGAGTTGTCAGTCACACTATGATACCTGTATTTCACTGCTAGCCCCTTGCAAAGTACACCGGGTTTTCAAGCTCGTTTTGCTGTGGGAATTCTTGTGACTTTGTAGCCGAATGCTATGCTGCCGCTTTTTGCAGGACCGCGGTGTGTCCTTCACTTTTGGACCTGACGTTGCAGCAGTCCCAGAATTTACTGTTATCTGATCATATCTAATCTAATCTGCATCAACTGGGTTTGCTGGTTTTGCCCAGTTGAACCGGGTTTGCTGAGTTGCCCGACATGTGCAAAGTTCGGCATGGCTGAAAGACCTGAACATCGCTCAGAATGAATTCCACTACATCACTCAGTGTTCTTTATGATCTAGTTTGACTGATTAAACAATCTTGGAGGTTCTTTTCTAATCTGACCTATTTGATCCAATCATTTGCTCAGGTCCATGGCTTTTTGAGAAAACACAACCTGGATTTGGTGTGCCGCGCACATCAGGCAGTCGGGATTTGGCAAATTTGAGATTGGTCAGCTTTCCGTGCACCTGTTTTTGGTGTTCGTAGGAAGCTTTCAAGGTCAAGACACAAGGACCCAAACCTGTTGTCATTGAACATGATAGTTGATAGTTCTTCTATCAGAGTATCGACTAGGGTGCAAAAGCTGGGAGGCCAGGCTCAAAAAGCAACCCGTGATCCATGTACCAAGACTGGAACACTTGGGAAGTTAGCTTTG